TATCTCGGCTTTTTGTTCTGAGGATGTTTGCTCACCGCTACCACAGTTCACCGTGCTCTGATCTATCTAGCAGCTGCGATTGTGAAACTGGATTGTATTAAGTTGCAATATATATATATATATATAAAGTTTTTAAAACGTGTACATAATTAATAAGACGCTGTTGCCTGGCATCGTCTCTTGCGGCCGCTGGTTTGGGACAAATAAATGCTAATAGTGTTTTTCATTACTCATTTGCATATGCCACTTTTGTGTCTAATTGATAGCATGAGAGTAATGTTTAGCCAGTTACTGGCAAATGAGCTGACTGCAAATTTTTGACCCGAGGCAGTTAAATTACTTGGATACCAATATGGATGTTTATCTATACGTTTGACATAAATTGTTTGCAAGTCATTTGAATATTTCAGTCTATGTTCCTTGCAAGACGTCACTTTGTTTGAACCAACTATTGCCGCCAAAACCAACGAAGGCCCACAAATTCAGTTTGTTCCTAATTGTGGGAACATTTTCTGACTGCTTTTTTTAGAGGTTACTTATCATATTTTCTCACAGGAGTGTCTCAGATGATGAGTGCCTTAGGTTACTAGTAAGTGGATTGCCTCCTTTTCATTGGTGAGACTATTCCGGTGTGGTTCCATGGATTTTCGTCCCTTTGTTACCCATTGTCCCACTCTAACTGTTCCACCCTAGTGAAGTATGTTGCGCAAAATCCGTTTTTTACAGAACCACCGGTCATGCATATTTACGTTTTACAAAAGATCATACAGTAATGCCTACCAAATAGTCACAGATGTGTTTTGCTTCCCAGAAATCTACCCCACATTTATTATCGTATCAGATTGTGTCTTCACCAAGGAATGCTAAGCCCACAAAATTTGCAATCGCACTTTCTGAGGTTACTTGTTATGCACACATTATGTCACGTTTTGAAGTAACTTGTATTTTTAGTCCATGCAATCAACTTTCCCACAAAATTTATATATCAGGGAGCAGTTCAGTGTAAATTGAGTTTTTAACCTCTCATACAAAGAATATGACACACACCAAGCTAATGAGATTTGGAATTTCAAATATTGGTTTTGGAGCCAGAATGCGACCACTTTGAGAATCCATTCGCAGAGAGTCATGTTTAGACTGAGATTTACCCACTGTAAACAGCAGGCTGTGTTGAGTCTCAACCTGTTTCGATGGTTTCTTTTCACCACTTTCGGTGGCCCTTTGTGGCCAATAAACACATTTCACTACATGACCAGCTCAGGAATGTAAGGAGTTAAGTATCTGGGTTGCTTAGGCTTCTTTCGGGCAGTTTCTGCGATCTTTGTGGACCATCTCACAGAGAAACCACCGTTCATGAAATACTCAGAAGCACAGGGCAACACTACGGAAGAAAAATGTAGACCAGCCGCATGGACACTGTCGGATCTACCTCTATGTAAACTCTTCAGTTATACCATCAAGTTAAAGAAGATTTATTCCAGTGGGCCAGATTTGAATGTAGGTTACTAGAATGTATACACACCCCTCTGATGACGAGTTGCCCCAACTTAATGTTCAGGCAAATTTCATCAAATGCCGATCAAAATTATACGTACCGCGCTCTAATCATTCTCCCTAGAGTTCAGCCTTTGCGCTTCCCTAGATCAGTCGTAGCTGTTCCTTAGTTTCAACGTCAGTGACCTAGCTCCTTACTTACCGATGGAGTCAGTTTAACTAGCGAAGAAACGCTTGCAAGCTAACTGCTCATCTTAGGATACGGAACGAAAAACCTGTAAACACACCGGAGCCTTCAATAGTTCGAGACATCTCTTAAGTTTGAGGTCATAATTTGGACCACTAAACTACCGCTCTCCGAAACTCCTTTATTGGGAACGTTTTCTCCACTTTTACTTATTCACTTGACCCGCCGACACCTCCGCCCAAACACGAGACTAATTAATGATATCCATTAGAGCCGGATTCACGAGTGACTAACAATGGGCCAGATGCTGATAAGTTACGTTCACCTTAAATTGATAGGCTGAAGGGAGGGCTTGCCTGATCTTGAAAGTGCAAAGTCCTGGTGTTCAAATTCTGGTCAGAAGGGATCGAAGTCCAGTACTTATAACAATTGCTTTCCATTCATGCTTGCTTCATAAAAGCCGAGCCCACAGTTCGACTCCCCAAAGGACAGAGTTGATATCATACGACTTATTCTACTCAGTCTAAAGGCGCAACGCCGTACAGCGGGCGAATGGCAGATACTCTGGGGTGGACAGCGCATGACCTATAAACGCAGCATGAAAAACTTTGCTAAGGACCTAAGCCGCCCTAGTGCATGTCGACTGTGCGCTTGAGGCGTCGAAGCCACACCACATCAATGTTTGGAGGCACTCGCCGACATGGCGGTGACGCATAACCAGTAGCGGTGTTATGTCTACGCTCTTGTCCTCAATCGGTAACTGTTTGGGCTTTTTCATTCTGATTTGATATCGTGTTCCTCTGTACCCCCTCTATCTTACACTAACCGTTTCCATGAACTATGGCGATCCGAACCACCGTACATTTCTACTTGGTTTACCGTTTTTAAATTGGACCGAAAAGATGCAACAGTTTAAACCATGATCGTTTATCACGAATTCGAGCGATAATAGAACTAAAAGTGAATTGCCGAACTGAGCGTCCTGGTGCATGTATGGGTTCTTGATAATGTGTGGGCGAGTGCGAACAGGTGTATGTGGACAGCCACAAAATTAAGTTAACAGAAAAAATATTACGGTGCATGTAAGCCGATAGTGGAGATAGGAAAAGTTCCTTTTTGATACCTGAAAAATACTTGGTCGCACAGCAGACGTGGACTCACCGTCGTGTTAACCGACATCGACATGATATATGCTGAGTACCGAAGCATCGCTCTGAATACTTTTTTAGTTCAATTTTGAATGGTTGAACTGACGTTGCTCTCCGTTAGAGCCTGTCAATTAATGGTTGACCTGCTAGTGGATGCAGAAAAGTGTGCTTAGGCTTCGATATTTAACACACAAACCACTTGGGTTAAACAGAACAAAGACAGTCAGGTCCCAGACCAGTAGACTTACTAGTTGAAGTCGTTTTCAAACATCAGATTTACTGACCCAACTGTATCAGTCAAACAACCGGTGGTACAGTCGCTTGACGTTCTTGCCAAATTTATTCGGCGTCGCACATCTCCACTATGCACCGATAGTGTCGTCTGCAGCAAACTTGTCAAGCTCAGAGCGTACTTCGACCGCTGGCCGAAACCCCTGAGCTACCAATATTCACTTCTAAGTCACCCATTTGAACGTTGACCTCCTATTGATCGGTACCCATCGACGCCCTGTATTTTGTGATGCCGAATATTTTGCTCCTGACGAAGTTAATTTGCGGTGATCAGAACTTTGAGTGATGAAAATATGCTCCTAAATTTGATTTTGTATCAGCCCAGCCACACTTGACATACAAGGCACAAGCTATCCCACTGTATTCGTACTGAGAACGGTGCAGATATTCTCAGGTTTGACAATCCCTTTCAGTCTTCATCAGATGTTGTTACGATATTTACTTCAATGACCTCGAGTGAATCAGGTAGAGTAATAAAGTAGGGCAACCAGCCAGTATTATACAGGATGGCCGGGATGGACAACTCCTGTATATCACAACCAAAACTGTTTTTGTTCTGTGTGAGCAGGCGCTGAAATTGGAATCCCATGGAAAGATATATTATCTTTGTTGTATGTGCCGTCTGCCCACCATTTGCATATCCATTATGCACACATGTTAGCCACTCTGAGATTATATTATTTGAATTTTCCACCGAAGTGACGGTAACTTTGTTTTATTTGTTCGTTAATAGCAACCCTGAATATTTCAAGTGTACGGCATCTTGCTAGCAAGTCGAAGAATTTTGTCAATGACGCGCACTACATGCCATTGTCATCACCGCCGATATCCCTATCTCCGACAGTCCCAACGTACTCTTCTGTAAACAAATGATGGCCCTATTTGAAATAAAAGTGCTGGAGAGACATGAGAAGAATATCTGCTATATTTCACAAAATTTTATAAGCGCAGAGCTAAACTTGTATCGATTATTTGGACATCATTTCTTAATATTGCTTGTCAAAGCTTTTGGTTCACAAATGTACTGGCTTTTTCATTTGTAATACAGAAGCATCGTACATTAAAACAACTCGACAGGGATTTCGCCAGCAGAGCTTCATAACCTGTGGTGAATTCGCCTTTCAAGAAAAAACAAGGGTTAACCCAGTATACTAACACGTTGCCTTCAAAAGCTTCCGCCAGCCAACAAATTTTGAAAATAGTCAATTCCGAATACACAATTCACCAGGTGTTTTGGCTCGTTTGTAATTGCGTGCAAAACATATAACCAGCCGTCAAACAACTTGGATGATTTGCCTGCTATTTAGACAGGTTCGCAATGTGCAGAGTCTAAACTTTGCTTGATTCGATCACAAGTAAATGTGATTTCAACAGGTGAGTATCCAAAGTGATCGAGTGCGGACACTGAAATGCAAACCATTGGTATATTAACCCGGTACTCCGAACGTCCTTAGTACAGCAACATAGTCCCCCACCAAACCGCCGAAAGTAGTATTTTAAATCTCAATCGACTTAAGCTAAATTTGTCGCATGGAGTCAAGTTTTAACTCTCTACTGCCGGATACATGCCGGAGCAAGCTAAGTGGGCTCAAAGGCCCCACTGAACGTCAGAGTGGTTGTAGGATAGTAGTAAGTAACGTTAGCAAACTTTCTACTATCCCAAAGCAAAACCAGAGCGAATTCCCATGACCACGAAAATCTATATAGACTGGATATGGCTAATGCAACTGATGTAGCTTAAGTCAGCGGGTAACCGTTTTACACATTTCCATAACTACTCGTTTCCCCCAACTCAACGACCGATCAGTGTTCAGAAATTTGTCGTGAACAAGCTCGGTAGGATAAACAACTCAAACCTTTTAAAAAAAGGTAGTGTTTGACTGCATCAAGATTGTGAGCAGCTATTCTCATGCACGAAGAGATCGATGAAAGTGATATTTTTTGCGCGGTGCTTCAGATGACATTCGCTGAAAAAACCTGGGAGAGATTACTTCTGGAGGGTAGTTTCCCCCGAAAAGGATCAGGGGAAGAAAACAGAATTTTGTTGGTGTTACATCTAGTACACAATTTTCCTCAAAAGACCATTTGCTAGAGCGACAGGCATACAGAACTCGGTGCTCCGAACTTCTTTCGAGCGTTTGATCACAGCATACAGTGAAATGCGTCGCAAAAATGTTCACTCACACAGACTGCAGAGCTGTCTGTTATCCCAACCAACATTAAAAGAAGACAAAAAGCAGCTGTAGAGCACACAAATCGAACAGATATAGAGTGGAAAGTTAAAAACGGATGATACTTCATGCGCTTCCCAGCATTTTTTCTCAAACATTTACTGTGAAATGCAATGTAGAGCCAAAAGACTACTGCATATCATTCCAAGAGATGTTTTTAATTCTAGCACATGAAGTCAGCTGGCGGAGATGACCAGCGAGGGATGGCGTCTACATGAGTGCAAACAACTAGGGCCTTCATGCACAACAGCGCAGACGGATATGGTTTTCCTTACGCAATATTAATTTTTTATCTTGAAACCATACGACATTGACTGAAAAAGTGCAGTTAGATTGTAGGAAGAAAACCGCACATGGATATGTTATAAATCTGTATTAAGGGGTACGTTAAGTCCGATTTGTTAAACCTCATAGACAACAATTTGTCTGGCAGTCAGGTGACACTGCAGGAGCAAAGTGGCCAAGTCTGGTTAAGTAATTGCATTTACTAGCTTATAATCCGCATTTATTTACGTGGCAGCGGTTGAGGTTTAGAAAACACAATTTAAAGTGTCATTTCAGAGGCCTAATTCACTTTATCACGAGCACGGTCATCAACATGTCACATAACTACGGCAAACTACTCAGTTATGCTCGCCATATTTTCATCGGGGTAGCTGCTATTTGTTTCAATTGTGAGTCGAGAGACGCACATTTATCATTTGTGTAGTTTGGCCGTAAATCCGATGCTACTTCGTTCAATAGATGCCGTCAAGTTGGTTGATCGTATTCATGCGGTGCCTTATCGTTATGGTAAACCACCGATCAAATACCAACAAGACCTTAGTTCAGCACTTATCTAATGGCGCTAAAAACCGGTAGATAGGATTCTGCATATTTGGAAAGAATGTGCTACACTGGGTACTACTTCTTTAGAGACATTGGTTATCTTGCGTCCCGTGAACATTTCTTTAATTTGTTGCCAGCCGACACAAGCGAATTTCCGTATTTCTATTAACATTCGGAGATAGAGTGATTGATTAAATAAAATTCAATCTGCATTTTTTGTGAGTAGTAAAGTTGGGTTTCTTCCGTGTGAATCTATCTTATCCAAACTTGATAATTTTTCATCTCCATTTTGAAATAACTCCACATACAAGAGATGTTTTGCATGTTTACGTGATGCGCACAATTTAAGCTGCCAACAAGCTACTTAGGGGTTAAAACCGATTGGCTGAACAGGATCCACGTTTACGCCGGATTGAGCAATAAAACTGGTCTTCATATATGGATAGCTCTAGCAGTTCTGTTTTAACGGGTTCAATGTCACGAGCTCGCCTACCCAAAAAAGGGCTAGGGACGAATCACTTCATGTACACTCTATAGGAAGTCGTTTTATAATAGACGGAAATTTTTGGTTGTTGGTCTGTTCGTCGAGCTTAGCAGTTGGGTTGCAAAGGTTTCATCACCAATCGAGGTGACATCGTCAGTGCAGGGTTGAGTGGGACGGAAATTTTCCTTACGATCTCTCATAAGACAAAATAATAAACGATGAGATGTTAAGAACTAACTTTTACTTTCATTAGCTGTTCGCTCAAATCAGATTTAAAGGTCGGATATATGGCGAAGGCATTAAGCACACTGAGCAGCCTGAGGTCAGCTTCAAGTTATACGAGTGAAATGACCACGTTTAGAACACATACAACTGGTCATCTCAGTTTTACAGCTTTTAGCTGCCTGACTACTATCATGCGATATGGTTGACTGCGTAACAGAACGGTGCGAAACTATCCTGAGTTAACTGAATTACTTGTTGTTAGTGAGTTTCCAATACCCGATCCAGTAGAACTGATGGTGGCTTTATAAAATACTTAGGATAGAAACAGACATCCCTAGCTGAAGTTAGTTCCTTCCATTACCCTACTTGTTACCCTAATTACAGACCAACCGATATAGAGCTTTGGCCGATAAATAAGGTATCAGGTCTTACCATGGAATGGGTTTCGCCTGAATGCCTGGCCAGAAACGTGACCCCAAGCGGTTGCTAGTGCACGTTCAATTTACACAAACAAGTTTTCGTGCAGGTTTTCAGTATTTAGACGGGCACTTAATTTAGATGCATCCATTGGGTTCAGAGTAATATAGCTGGAATAAGAATCCTAGGTTTTATACACCAACTCTCGGTTAGATCTATTCCCATACTGGCTAGGGAGAATAAGCATCGTAAACGAAAATACTGCCTTTTCCAAAATATTTTGACCCCGCAGTAAGACTTTCGTGGCACCATTCTTTGTTCTATGCAGAGTCCCCAGAAGTGTTCGACTTGTTCATAGGAAGCTTAGGGCTTCAGAAAAATCTATTGATACGGTTACTGAGAGGCCAACACGTTGTTGTTACATAATCCACCTGCAATCGAGTCGAAAGATTATTTAAGCCGCATCATTCTGCAGTGTAGTTATAATGACTATATTTATAATTATAATAACATAAGAACATGGAAAGTTGATAATTTTATTCCCAAATCTCTGAAAGTAGTACCAACGCAAGAACGGCTGAAACGGAAACAAGTTGGAGGAGCTTTATGAGGGGTATGGATTAGAAATGACCCTCCCATGAAGTTGATCACTCTCCTCTAACATTTCTTAGAGGACTACTCCATCCTATACAGCTTTNCATAACGAACGAGTTACCAAACGAGTTCGAGACTTCCCAGATTGAGACCACTAAGCAGACTTTCAAAAGGGACAAGTTTCAATCCAGCAGCGTACTCCGCTACCCATGTTGGCTAGAAAATCTACCGTACGTTTACCAAACGAATAAAGCACGACGAAAATGTGGTCATTATCTAAGAAGACCACACGATAAAAATGTTGGTCTTCACTGCAGAGCTACGTGGATTGAAAGCACGATGTATGGGAGACAGGGTAAACACCAAGGTCAATGATCTTTTCGTGAAAAAACAGAAATAAGAGAAGCAGTGCTAGTGAGAAGTTAGACCAACGATGGGGTTTCAGCCCTGGGTCCATCTTCTTTGAACTATCGACTAGCAAAACTAAGAAATGCCCATCATTTCAATAAAGTAGGACGAACTGGTGTGTGTAGCTGGTAACATTCTCTAGAAAATATTTAGTGATCACACTCTATTTGTTTTGAATTCCACAATGACCTCCGACAGAATCTTCGATAAAAATAAGCGTGCCGTACCTTACCGCAACAAGAAACCAAACGCACGCGCATGACGCATGTGTAGGAAATTTTGACTACACCCACGAGTTTGGGATGTCACAGTACACGAACAGGTAGGTGTGGTATTCCACTGATTGCGGCTTTTATTCATTGTTGTGGGGTTTGATATGTTTCTCTCATTTTTGGAGTGACTGGGCCACAGAAGTGTACTTTTTGCAAACTATTCAGAAGCGCTGTTTTGTAGCCTACGGAGGTTGCAGGTGGGAAAGCTGTTGTCCTTTCGGCAACGCCACTGCATCACAAGAATTGTTAAATGCCAGCAACCATTCTTCCAGAATACTTTGAAGAAGTCTATCTTCTATCAAAGTAGGTAAATAGTGGGAATATTTTAGTAGAATAAGGCTTAAGCAAGTGGTATCCTACTTTAAATACGTGAATTGCTATGCCGTGTATTTGTACAATGATACTATATGAAGGGAACTTGTTGTACAATCCCCTAATTCCCAAGTTACTTTGAAATTAAGACCAATGTTTGGGAAATATATTCAACTTTCTCGATAACTGTGTAGTTGTACCGTGAAGACGATGAGTAACACTGCAATTAACATGGCGTTTTAAGCCATCAAACAATGGTAGCCGGATCAGTTTCGAAAACAGCGTTCGATTTTGTGCAACAACAAACCATGGGCCTGTATTTCGTTCCCTGTCGCTCCCGTTGTACGCACTTTGTCCTGAAAAATCACAACATGCAAAGGTTCACGTGTTCCACTCAAGTTGTTATGTTAACATGTTAAAATGATGAAGCAGTCTTTGTACCATAAATTTCTCTTTTTCAGCGTAAAGCGTGCCTGTTATTTATCCCAGTCTTGGATCAGTTGAGCAACTGGTAACAGATATCAAAAGTACGTACTGGGTTCTCACAAACCCAGCGAACCAAGAAATGGCTTTTCAAACGACAGGTAACTTTGAGGTTTTGGGAGACTTTCTTCAGCCCCGGCATCGCAGGTTTCCAGTCTGCATACTTCTGTAGGGTAGACTGTCTGTTGGGTTGTGGATTCACACAACCACTTGTCATATGACCAGTTGTCGAAATTTCCTTTTAAATTGGCATTCAGTTGTGTACCCACCTGATAATGCTTTTGGGAATCAAAGGAGAATACCTGCTGCCAAAACCACAGGAAAATGAGATTAACTACGCGATCAGGCTGGCAGCTATGTTTTTACAGAGGCCGCTTAATAACCGTTACTTGGTGTGCCGAAACCTAATAATGTGGGAGCCAGTCTTCGTACGGTTCTATTTGTGAAAACCTACTAACTAGGTGCGCATGCGCCAGGCAGTATTAATCTAGTATGTGCTAACTGGCCAAAAATACTCATGTATTACACTCTACCATATAGGATTACATCGACAACTGAGACAGCTTCTCGCTTGATCGATATCACGAAAAGGGACCTTTCTGCAACCTTTCCCAAGTTATCCACGAAACTTTCAACGTCTACGCCGATGTATGTCTTATTTTCGGCACATGTGATTTACGGTTGTTTATATTACACGTACATATATGTGTTTACTTCATTCACTTAAGAATAGTTATTGAATGACATTCACGTTACAATATCCCATTGGATAGATTATTTAGAATTTACCATTCTTCATGTTCCAGCATGAGCCTGAGGGTGCTACTATATAAAACGAAGAGTCAAAGAAGCACCAAAACCTAAATAAAGTGTAATGGCACACCTTACCTAGACTCCTCAGTAGTTGAATGTGAGAGGTTATGTCAAGTGTGCACGCTGAAAAGGACTGACCGTATATTCCGTCGTAACTACAAGTTGCTGTCATCCGTTTCCTCAATAGAATTTTTTGAAACACTTGCTAGCAAAGGTTTTTGCACAACAAATTCTACCCTGCTAATAATTGCGGCATATTGAATGGGCACTACACGCCAATGGCTGTCAGGATACGATTTGTGAAAAAAAGTCTTAAGTGCCAAATGCTGTGTGAAAAACGCCATCTGGTCAACACTGTCCTAGCACTTGGTCTAAAACAGTCACCCATGTACACATTGTGTAGACACACTGACATAGGCGAAAGACTGCAGATGAACCCGTTGGTAGCGATCGTGTTTTGTCAGACGAGCTATGCCGGCTGTTGCGTGCATTTGGATCGTAAAGTAAATGTATGGAACTCTATGTAACAAATCAGTGGTAAAAGCTTTCTGGTAACTTGTGCAGCATCCACAATGTCATAAACAATTATACTCGCCAGATTCCAAGTAGTTTGAAGTACCGTTTTGAAATTAGGTTTAACTGACCGGGATCTAACCAGTTAACAGAAATCCAAGCACATATTGTACGGAAAAACGAAAAACTTTGAAAGCAGGATTCTTTTGGAACTTAAGGATTGGTCTTTAAATGTGACCTCAATAGAAGCTTGCAGATCTCCTCTCCACTTTTTATCGTTCTGTCTATGATAGTTCAGTAAGTCGGCCCCAGTTGGCTGAGAATCGTCTACACACTTGCATGGCTAAAATGGTTTCCACAACACTTCCGCATAAACAATCCCAGCAAAACAGTTCTCGAGGAACAAAAGTTAAGATAATATAGTATTTTTCTTCATATGAATTCACTGATAATTTCAATAACAAACTGCCAACAGCCCGCTAACTGTTTTGCCATCCAGGTCTTATCAGGTAGGCTGTTCCGAAATTTCCACCATATGTTAAACAAAATGGTGTGAAGAAGCTCTTCGGAGTACGACGGTATCAACGCATTAGGCGACAGATGTCTAATTCGGGTCACTAGGAGCCTAACTTCATTCACCGCAAGTGATTTCTATGTCTTTTAAATTCAAAACTGATTGATTGTTGTATGGGGCTTGTCAAGATGTGACTGATAACAAAAATTAGCTGTTAATAAGTTTACTGTATGTGATCACCAGATGCCTTGAAATCACCGACGTACATCTTGCTTCGAATGCTCAGCTTTCAGCCAGTTTGTTGTATGAGGTTTGAAGTGGCACAACCACTAACCTAACCAACCGCTACGCACAACTACGCACTGATGATGTCACCTCGATTGGTGATGAAACGTTTGCAACCAAATTGCCCAGCTCAGTGAACAAGCCAACGACCATCTACGCTACCTGAGCTACCGACATTCTCCTCTATAGGACAAACCAGTATATGGGTTGCTGCTCTGCAAGTTATCCAACCAAGTATGGTTTTGCATTCTTATGACGAGGCGCATATTACAGGTATTGCGGTATAAGCAATTTCTGGTATAAACAGAAACTTAATCGCCAAAAATGCCGTCGTAAGAACTTATGAAAAAGTAGGCTTGCTTGAATGACGAAATCGGCAAAATGCTATGTTGTATGTAGCGCGTCTGGAGCGCGCATCGCGTTCGAGTGTAAATCTTAATGTGTCAATTTCCAGTGCTTCGTCCAGAGATTACTGTGATGTCACGCTCTGCAGCTCTCTGGAAAAGTCTCGTTAGAGACTGGTAAATTCTGTATGAGTACAAGGACCGAATGTTGCAGCGTAAGTATGTAGATGTGCCGTGGTCCCTGCCCATGCCTGGAGCCAGGTCACTTCGCCCCAACTAAACCTACACTTTCGTAACAGAAAAAAATGGTATGATACTTGCGTGTCGACAATCATTTGAATTCACTGGATATTGTTTTGTTGTCGCTGTACGCCCGATGTGTCTGGATAATGAGGAAGTGTACTGTATGTTGTCTGTATATTTATGTAGAGCATTTTTATTTAATGTTATTATTCTGCTAAAAGTACTTACTGGAGTTCTGTCTTGGCTTCGTTACCCTGAGCTTCATCAAATACACATTCCATGAAACCATTCAGTTCTTCGATGTGTGAACTATCATCTCCTTCTTTCCTCAACGGAAACGATAAACGATCAGGAAACGCGAAACTGGGAACGTCCACTGTGCGATAGCTTACTTCTAGGTTGTAATCTAATATGTCGTTGATTTGAAAATCCTCATCATCATCACCAAATGGATTGACCACGCACAAGGCCACCTGCAAGAGGATATTGAACAAAAATTTCGGGTACCAATCAATTTAGGTCGTTCTGACGCCGTTTATTTTAAGTGCTGTTAGTTTACCGTCATTTTTATTGAGACAACTAGAATTGGCGCATATTTTTTTGCATTGTCCTCCCACAGAATAACGAACTTCATGTTTATAAAAGTGTTCGTACATGTTTTACCTTCAAGTATATAGACATCAAGTTAAATATATCCTAAAGGTTATTTGGGAACTGGTTTATGCTTTTTAGGTCATAAAAATCTCAGGTACACGGAGCCTATCGCCGAGAAGGGACAAGTTCACATTAAACTAACTTATTTAAGCTGCTAACCACGGAAATAAATGCTCACCGATGGATGGCTGGGAAAATTGAGCAAGGCATAAACATTGACCCAACGATACTTTGGCTTATGCAGACTGACTAACGAGTAGACTGTCTGTCTAAATAATCATCCTTGCGCAGTTGAGTACCTTGGGATGCAGCCACAAATTGACCACAACTTCCGCTCAGATTTGAATTTATGGCGTGCTCCGATGCAGTTATTGTTCACAAATTTGATGTCAGAATTGGAGGGGCTCAATGTGTGCTCTGTGTTTTGTGACCAACCTGAGCTCCGGGTCAATGTGATAATTTCAAATTATTCCACATTGTACAGTTTTATTCTAAGACTGCAATAAAAACTATACTTTATAAAGAAAAACACCCCACAGGCGCTAATCTGTCTTGGGGAAGAATTCCAAGGGCCACATGTAATTAATACATTCAGTGCTTATCGATTGGTAGATTTCACATTATCCCCGGTTGAAACGGTTCGGTCTTGTGTTGTAAATAGTTCAGATTGATTGCCTATGCCTGTGTTGTCAATCATGTTCTTGAAATGGAAGCTTGCACCGAATGGATATGGAACTGGTAGCAAATAAGTAGTAGTAAATAAATCAGCACAAAAAACCTTCCGGTTTACCTTCTGTCAGAACGAGTAGAATTTTGCAAACAAATCGTAGAAAACTGCCGCCAAAACCATGTAGCCATGAAAAAGAAATCTTGTTATTAACCGACCACACTCTCGTTCGCACGAGATTTTTATTTCATATAGCGCAGTTGTATCCATCTTCAGTAAATTATTGTTAGCGAATTTTTCCAGGTCATCAAGTGCAGTTTTGTAGCTAGTTAAACGCAATTCCGTCGTATTCTTAATGAACTTATCAAAAGTGATCATTTCTCCCACACACGTCAACGAAAACGAACCTGTTTTTCCATTCAGATGTAAGTTTGTGCAAAGGGGGTAAGAGTTACAAATCAATGAGTTATTCCCATCTTACTTCATGTCTCTGCTTTCTACTTGAGTACAAGCACCAACCGAGATGCATTGAATCCTAAGCGCTGGTCACAAGCGACCCCAGCAGCTAAACCTCAGGGCAAACTTTACTTTTTACCCTTTTATTGATTCGTCCGAGCCAAAACAAGAATCCTTCAATACTGGAAGCACTCGTTGTATTATTTTTAAATTCTAATTGGAGATTCACTACGGAACGTGTGGGTTCTCATGGAGAATGACATCCTTCAAACTGGCTCGTAGACGAATGATTATAATACATGAACTTTCTTGTTCACGAGGATGGTCATGAGGTAAATCCACCTACATCTTAGAGCGTCATTAAATGGTAGAAAGCGATTAAGTAGCTGTCACTTACTTTATACCAACCCATCAAGAATATGAAGGAAAAAATGTTGAATACTGGCACATAGAGGTCGATTCTTCCGTGAGCATCATCATTATGTTCAACAAACTGAGATGCAAAGATCTGGCAGAGGAAATAACTGTATACCGCAATGGTTACCACCTGAAAATTAACCAATACGGAAGCGTTTTATAACTCATATAGTAGTAACCGGAGTAGTTACATTATATCAACGATTCAGTGACCTCAGAAAACCAGTTAGGCACTCGACCATTAAAGATTGTACCTGAAATCAGTGCCTCTCTAATCGCATCTAGGGTGTCGACTAACATCTTGAATTCGTTTATTCATATTATGTTTAAAACGAGTGTTTCTGCTTTTGCGACAAAATTACGAGGTTTAACTGTGTCTTTATTAAGCGGACGCACTTTGGCAGTCAAGTTGTGATATTGTTGCAACAAAATAGCAACAACAACAAAAATAGCTTTAATCCCGGTATTCACACGCGCTCCAAGTATCTAAGTAATAGTGTAGACAACGTTTTAAGAAAACAATCATCCTTCAGCCTATACGCGTCTCATTATAACTAGTAAATATCATATGAACCATACCGCTTATTTAAATTGATGGTTTTCTTCATTATCATGCATTTTGATTGAAGCTATTACCAGTATTTCGCTTTATTTGACCTAATTTATGATCAGACTATGAGCAAAGATCACAAGGAATAAGGCAGAAGAAGAAATGACCTATTTCGGTACATCGTGATGATGAATTAGCCTTTGAAATATATACAGTATTTCAGAAGTGAGTAGAACAAGTTGGACAGTGCGCATAGACTAATCAGGTCAGCTACAGTTTGTGACTGGAAACCATAACCGTAGTTTGTTTTGATTAGAGGTCGCGCCATTTCGCGCATTGCCATCCGTTTTGCAGCGAATATCAGCAGACGGCACCGGCTAAAAAATTATAGGCTCCACAATAAATTTCATAGCTTCGCGCGTAAAAGGCCACGAATGACACAATTCACATTTGGTTTGCAGAGACTCAGCTTTAGTTCCAAACTGAATTGTAGCTTTGAAGACAAGGAGTTAAATCTATCTTAACTCTATATTTCATCTCCGCAATAGTTTACCCATCCACTCTGTTCATACCCACATTTTACATGTCAAGCATCATATTGAGATTTACCTACATCAGGCGTCCTAATTCCTGTTCCAAATAATATTTCCACAAATTCCCCTATTGATGATCATGATGGCGACGCTCATGTCCGTTTGTCCTTCATTGAGAGAAAAACTCCTGGCTACTTTATCACTTCTGTCGTAGTGCCAAGAAAGGGAGCGTTCACGAACTGTCTGCTCGTGTGTGTCTGTGTGTACTCCTGAGAGCCCGCTACTTCCGTATTCTGACGTAAAGAATAATTCGAAGACTCCCTATATGATTATAACTATCTTCAAACCATATCAATTCAGGTATGCAAACATTTTCACCACGGCTAAAAAGATAAGGAAAACATTTCTGTTACGAAATCACAATTTCGATTTTTAGTCCTTACAGAGTACTACATCACATGATTGTTTCTCCACCGACCTTTACCTTCAAAAATACTATTGTCTCCAATCACCCGAAAGCATGATATGACGGTGCTTTGCTAAGTACTCGTCAAAACAGATTCCTTGATTCTTTGTCAGTCTGGTTAGCCTGGTAACCAGAACTTGTTTTCCTCAAATTCTCATGCTAAGATGTTATGACAAAACCACGTAATTTTGTGTAAAAATAGACGGTTTCGAAAGCTGACTCATCTATGTGTACTTATTCTCTCAACACGGTCCTTCCGTATGCTTGCTTTTCAATGAGTCTCCGACTGGTTTGGAAAACCTTCACGAAAATATTGAAGAGATCATCAAGTAATTATTGAACTATTTAGAACCGCATGGTGTTTAGCATTATTCGCAAAAGGCTTACGAAGCGGAATGATCAAAACAAAACGGTTGCTTTGTTAAATTTAAGTAAAAAGATCACTTTTGCATTTTTCATAATTTCTGTCGAAGTATTCAACACTGATAACTTTTACTTAAGTTTTCAGTGTGAAACTAAAACATTAAATGAATGTTTTTGGTGTTTTAGTGAGTGAAAATATATACACCAATGCCTCAGCGTACCATGTGAAGCTGCGCGCTCAGTTTTTAGCGTTCTCAATTAGTATCCTTCCAAACGAACCCTAAAGTGTTTTCAGTAAAACCAGTGTGTGTTTAGCCGCCACTGTTATCGTTCTCCCTAGTTTTTTATGTAACAAAGCGTAAGGATCAGTAGATTCCATATATTAGATTGTCCAAGTGTGATAGTGGATCGCTAAAGCTGGGGTTACTGTAAACTAATCACCAGAAGACGTCAATGAACTAACCTGTGTATAAGCCAGAGGTATTACGATGCTGCTGAGCAACTGTACATATTGTAGTTTGTCCCGGAATCGCATCAGTTCCTGTTGATGAAAGAGATTTTTATTGACTTTGGTCAAAAGGACATAGCATGAGTAACAAGAGGTAGCTCCAGTTGAGCCCTTTTCGAGGTAGTCATGGCTTTCTCATATATTTCTCAGTTAAAACCTCCACAGATTCCAGGACTACATTCATCTAGGTGGTACAAGGTCATTGATGGATCACCTAAACGTTACCGTATTTAACAATGTATAGTCATGTGCCACTTCTAAAACTACCAGGGCCGATTAGTTTGTAAATCACTCCTTAAATTAAATAGACCATCTGCCTGGCTGAGACCTGGACTGTGCGGAAAAAGTGGCAGTGAAAGCAAAAATATATACTATATTACTAGTTTGGTGGCCGTTGTGAAAAAAAGCAGAGAATCGCCCAGCAAAATATTATTCACACCCCTAGTAAAAACATGGCAGAGGGATTTATACAGGAATGGAGTCCATGGATCCGGGAAAATTTGTCTAAATCTCGATGAAAGGACATATTAAGTTAGTTCTATATTTGTTTGGTGGGTATACCGTCAGTTCTTGATAGATGATCAAAACGTCCTTTAAACTCTGAATTTGGTTTCATAGACGGTGTGTCATTTGGTAACAAACCTTTCATCAACCAGAACTGAGGTTATAGTGATAAACATGGTGCGGTATCATCGCCTTTGCTGACATTTATACATTTGCATTCTTTTTTTCAAGTTATCTTCTCTGTCGCACACGGTCCATAATATTAAGGCAAACGAATTGGGATCTAGTTTAGCAAACTTGTGACTAAAAACCGAACGGCAAAATGTCCCTATTACACCTCACTCATTCGCGCATAATTCTGAAGTAATTTCACCTTCTGGGTTACAGCTTAAATACATTCAATTATACTCTTGAACAGAACTTCCTCAATTTGTGCTTAAGAGGATTGTCACGTACCAGGAAAATAGAACTTCTGAGCATGTGTATGCAAACTAAAATGATCTGCATGAAAACATAGGACACGATAGGACCACTGATTCATCCGTACTGTATAAAAAGAATGTGTTGACCCATTTTTCTGCATGATAAATTTGATAAGATTTATCTGACATTTGGTTGCAAATGAGTGGACTGCTACCACATTTTGGACGTACCTTTAAAATTTCGTTTGCTCTCTTTAATTCAAAAATATATCCCTTCTGCAATGATTTGAGGGTGAGGCGCTGTGCCCACTGGATTGGTATCCAGTACTCTGGAACATATTTGGTTTTGTTTCGTCTGTAAAAGTCACTTGCGATGTTCTGAAACGCAGCGATCTCGTTTTCAGTGATCAGGATACCAAATGTTTGCTTGACTTCTAAAGAGAAAGGGTTCAAACAAATTTGGGCATCTTGAAAGCCGTATATTAGAGCAATGGGCACCATATCTCTCAAAGTTTTCCGAAAAACATTCAATCTATATTTATCCATGCATCATCGTTGAGATTTGGGACATTTGTCCGAATCCTTTTGTCTTATGTATTCATCGAGGTAGGCAGCTGAGTAGTATATACAATGACACCAACAATGAATAAATAATAAATGAACAATAAAATGACAATCTTAAAACCACAGAATTGGAGCTTAATTTTTGAAAGATTCACCTAAATGGGAGGTTCTTCGCTACTGTGGACATCATACTTACGTATTTGGACGCAATCAAAGCATCCGTTGATGTCCAAACTTGGTCCATATGGGGTGAGAATTTGCACTTAAAACTGTCCTTAAAACCTCATATCAGACATGCAGCCACTCTATTCTTTTCTGTAATTACAACCACGGTAATCTCTTGAAGTTCTACACTGCATAAAATGAAGACTGTTGATTGAGGATTTTACAGAAATCGCCCGTTTACACTGCTAATCACTCATAAGTTCAGTCTTTTGTTGGCCTACGGAGTTAGATTATTTTCCGTTCCAAATTACTTTACACACCATTTTGACGAACAGTTTGCTGTTAAATTTAGACAGGCGTAGTCATAGAATGAGACTATAGGTAGAGCTGAAGAGGAAAGCATTCCAAAGCGACTATTTATATTTTCTTCTCTTTCCTTCGAACCCTTCAAGGCCTTTGTAATAAGAAGTTCACGTGCAAATGAAATGCACCACCAAGAGTCAATCGCAAATATCGAAGCTAGGGTCGTCAGACATATGGACTGTATATCAAATGGATCAAATCCCTACTTATGATCTTGATAGCTTAACCGCAAGTAGGACTTGGGGTCGCCGGAAACTCGGGGACTGCGCCTACGTGATGAGCCCCAAGAAGGGCGAAATCCGTCGTGGGCTGTCAGAGTTTTCAGCAACCTTGTGAGTAGTTTCCTTTATGAGATGTAAACCGCAACTTGTGATTGCCAGATACTGCATGTTAGGTTCACAGTCACTTATAACAACATTTTATTCTATTCCACACGTGTCACACATAAAGGTAGGTGTGCCTAACTTCTGCGTACACAGATTTAGGGTTTTCCTCAACAATATTTCGTGCTCCGAATAATAAAGCTGGAGGACAAGATCAATAATCTGTGTACTGCTGCGCTGCTGTTGTTCTACATCCATATTTTGGCAACACTCTCAACATGACTGCTCTTTTAAAGACCATTAAGTTCTCGCATGATTTCCAGTGCAACCACCTAATACACCTCTATGATTTGAAATAATACTCTGGTAACCACGATCGGAAATTTAACTCAGAGCGGAGTTTACACCTCGCCAAGAGCAGACTGTCTCCGGTGTCGGTTATTTAGCATCATTTCTTGAGCGAACCTACGAGAAGCATAAGCTTTTTTTAACAATGCAAATGTAGCGACTCCACTTATATGAATAGCAGAGGTCCATAGCTGAAATAATCTATGAGGTGATAGAGTTTTTTTTTCGAAGTTTCAGCTGGACATAAGTGGCGTTCTGCACTACACTGCATGGCACCACACAGTACACACAGGCAAGGGGATCAAAAAATTTCGTTTAGCTGAATTTCATGGACCAAAGGCTCAGCTGCATAGGGAAGCTAACGGTACATCTAAATCTCGTGGAAATTCGATGCAGTAATCTAATTTTCGAAGAATAATAAAACATGAAATGAGTACTTTTCCGACTGACTAGTTTTACTCAAAATGCATGAGTATGATGATGCGATTCCTTATTTTCTGGATTTATCGTTAATCACCTGTTAATAAAGATCATGGGAGACATGGCACAATCTAACATCACCTGACCGTGTTCGAACACCAGCATCTTGTCTTTTGAAATTATGTTTGTTTACTCGGATCTGTAAGATGCTGACTGCTTGATAAAGTCGCTGTGACAGGAGGATAGACGGCCAGGCCCAAGGAACCAATGGAACACCACTCCCAACACAGTTGCCAATAAATTTGGTGAAAACACAGTCTGCTTCATCGAAGCAATGCTAATGTAAATAACTATGATGTCATTATTGCCAAATATTGTGCGGCGTCCTAAATTGAAGAGCCCTTTGTGTTTACGTCATAATCCTGCGCGTGTGCGGCCACTAGTAAACCACGCTGCAGACTAGGCAATAGTGGATTCGCATATAGATGGTTCCATGGGGAAAGATGATGATTCTTTCCGGGAATAGGTTCTTCCGAGGTCGTTGTTACCTTAAGTAGCGTTTTTTCTTGCCCAAGGTTTTGAATATTGTAATCCGTATCCACAAGAGAGTGCTTCCTAATTTCTATTGTTTTGGATTTTTATAGGGGACCAATGTATTCCTCTCTTTAGTGAACTTGATCCTAGCGACATGTTAGTCAATCGCACCACCCCGTTCGGTTAAGAATCATTGGGGCCATTCCTTGCGCCTTCTGACCAAAGTCAATCCAGTCAATTGGGCTGCTTGAACCGACTGTCCACATTTGTAGTTTTGTAGACCTCGCAGGTGAGATCGCCATCTATCCTTGAACGTATTCATATTCAATGCAATATCTTAGTCTAAAATAGCCTTTCAAGGTTATCATTAAGAGAATGGTTCCTTTTTACATGTTGGCTTGTTGATCTAGCTTGACAGTTGTTTCATAAACGTCACCATACATGGGAATGTCATCAGCTCACCGCAGGTATTCCTGTGTATTTACGCTGATTGACGCTTTTTTATGTGAAGGAATACAAGGCACCAAAGGCTAATAGGTTTTCACATAGTGCTACCTACGTCCCTCCTATAGACATTTAGAAGCAGACAAACTGGTGACTCAGCACCTAGCGGATACTTCTGTTGACCATGCTTGACACTCCTGGAGAGTTCTACACCAGATACAAGCTGTTGTATGGAAAGGTTGTATTTTGGAGTAGGCCTTTGACCGTGGTTTTTCTATATGATAGAAGGGCGCATTCAGTGCTTACTTGTGTCATCATTAAAAGCTCTCAAAGTGTTTGTGAGTACTTGGTCGTCGTAGGCGTGAAACGAATGCATATATTCGAACTTCCCAGCCTCTGTGGAACAAGGAGTCGAGACGGGAGTTGCACTATAACGAACGTTTTGTCGGTCGCCAGTTGAATCGTCGGCAAGTAAATACGTAGTAGGTACCACTGGAGACAAAGAGGGGGTTATTTTTGGTTTTCCTGCCCCTCCTCCGGTCCATGGCTGCTGAATGTTTCTGTTGAGGCGAGTCTTTCTTGTTTTTATCCACACCAAGGGTGGCCGTCGGATAAGTTGTTGAACCTCTTCTTTATCTGGAAATCGATTTGCCGCTTGGTCAGATAGGGTACGCATCAAAAGAATCCAGGACAGATTGAGATAACGCGCTAACGTGATGCGAATGTTTCTGCACATCATTTCATCCTTCGAGTCCAAGTGTGACTGAAAGGTTACAAGCGTCACGATCGGTCACACAGCAGTAAGGTGCCACGTTTGGCAAAATGCCATATAAGCTTATGCAGATCATCTAAATCCATCATAAAACACTTGGTTTACGGACAGCAACCAATTGAGTTGGAGGCATATGTGTGTTCCCCAAAGGCTACGTATTTCACCACTTGACTAACAGCGCTGTTAGTGCAAGACGGTAGTCAAACTGGATCAGTTAGTATAAAATCTCCGTGGTAGTAAATGAAAATCAATTTCGTACAAGTGACATCGCGAAGAACACGTTGGAATTTGAGCTATATGCTTCCATCTTGGCTGGGCAAAAAACGTCTCAATCATGTTCAGAATGGAATACCATATATTTTGGAAACCTAGTAGTGGCATTGTGGTGTTTTATACCTTTATTTTGCTTTCATTATAACACCACGTATTTCGTCAATTGGATTATCGTTTTTTTGTTTGAATACGAAAAACGAAAAACTGCGCACTTGTACAATTCCACGCAATACAAACGTGGTCACGTGCTTCGACTGTCTCTTCTGATTTCGCTCGCACTTACAGCGTTCATATGCGAGTCTCATGTGCTAACTCTGGTATCAAAACATTTCAGATCATCTTCGGAATGTTATATGTGGGAACTGTTCAGAAGAGCCTTGGACCACCATGATTGGATTATTGTTTATTCGCTGACCTGGGCCAACGACGAACTATTTATAGAGAACAATTGTTAGTGAGTCTGCTCCATATGACCTCTTTATTACTGTATACCCAATGCAGCATTATTATTTCCATTTATTTCCACACACTCCTGGTAAGGTAACTTATTGGGTAGCCGGACCACTACAGAATTCATGGGCATATGCTTGCATATTCATACTAGGTTAGGAAGTTTTCAAATACTTCTTGGATAGTCTTCATTTTCAAAGGTTATGGGTTGCGGTTTAGTATACATATATTGACCTAAGTAGCGCTTACACTATCACCCTTGGGCCCTCTGTGTGTGTGCGTAAAACATTTGATCAGACTTTACGGCTGCCATGATAAATACGCATTCCAAAATGACACTGCGTTTATCAGAGGTCGGACGCCTTTCTCAACATAGGGTCGCTCATATGGTTTGCTATCGCTTCTCTGAAGTCCTTGGCTGACTCGTACTATCAATCAGGAAGTCGAACATGTATATTTACCCAATTTGTTGAACTGGGATGACACTGTACGTTCTGTGGCACCTCATTTACAGTTGATTACACCAACAAAGTGATCTGGTTGATTCCATCATCACAGATAACATGAAAATAGCATGATTTAGCAATTCATCCAGGTGGCTATAACCAGTGTAGTCAACTGTGGGTTCACTGTAAACATAGCTTATTTTCTTCCCTCCGTTCTTGAGGTCACAGTTAAGACGTAACAGAAGGAAGCAGATATTCATAGAACCACAAAGCTAAGACCCACCAAGTAAATGCTGATCACGCGGTCAAATTTCCGAACTAATTCATTAAAAGAAGCGCATCAAAAAATGAGTTTATCGTTCAACTGTTTTTAAATCAGTGTGCCCACAATTAACTTTCCTCTAAAAGTACATTAGTAACGTTACTGAGTACCTGTAGGGGCTTTGATAAAATTACCCTTTGCAAGCACATGTATAAGTGCAACAGATTTAACGTACCACAATTGTCATAGATACTTGATTCAACCATGGGATACTCGGAAAAATGAGAAACCATCTTGAGACGATTCCAGAGACAAAGAATCCAAGTAGAAAGGAAATGGGAATATCCCGAATTGCACTTTGGCAGTGCTGGACGATTTTTTCGAATGTTCTGAAAATGGAAAGACAAATCATTAATATATCAGATGTAGTCATGTCATAGTGAATATTTCCCATGCCTTTCGAAAGCAAAATCATCGGACTTCAACATGGATAAGTCGAAAAAAATGTCCTATTTTAGACTTTATGCACTGCTCATAAGGTTGCTGAGATCTCTTAAACACCCCATTTACGCCCTTCAAATTCAGGCTCATCAGGTAGGTGCAGTCTCCTAGTTTCCGTCAATCTTATCTCTCAGTTGAACACAGATCGTAAGAAATTAGCCGCATACACACATTCGCATACCAATTTGATTTTCACGGTAGACACACCTGGAATCCAGCTGAATCACTCGTCTAACGTGTAGTTCTCAACCTACATACGGGGTATTGTGATACCTCAAATATTGTACCAGCTGACATGTAAGGTATCTGATGAAGCACGTTCAGTTAAGAAAAACACAATAAACGAAGGTTTCAGTTGGTTTCCAAGTGAATCTTCCTGCAAAATCAAATTGGAATACAAATGATTGAATGAGTCAAACGTCCTCTTTTATTCACATTATTTCAGTGCAAGTACAGAACTACAGTCACTAAGTTTCCTGTACATCGCAATGAACGTGTTTTGCAAAGTTTTTTCGTTATCTGAATAAGCATGAATGCATCAGTATTACCCTCTAGTACACTTGCCGATGCACTCTTTACAGATGTTGCGTGTGGCTTTTGATTCCAATAATCTGGCCAGTTTGGGGCCACATAGTCCATTTCCAAAATATTGCTGACTCAATGTAGACGTGTTTCCCAGTCCACAGACGTACGTCACTGACAACTAATCTGCTTAGCTTAGGGAAACTAAAACAAAGCAAGCATCTGAAAGTCGTATTTGTGGCAGTAAATTTGCTCAGCTCCAATGTGATTGTATAGGCTCTTGTCAAAAAAGAAATAGAAATTTCCTTTTTCCGTCCTGTATACTTTGACAGAAACGTTTGCTTCCCACTAGGAATGGTTATTTTGTTAACCTGCCCCAAAATTAAGAGTACATGGATCATGTTTTGTTTTGGAGTGTATATTATCAGCTTCACTGAGAGTGAAATTAACAATATTTGACCTGTTGAAAAGAGGCAAACAAGGCATCAATTCCAACGCCTAGTTAGTTATTATTTAAACAATTGCTCAATTCTGGAACATTACCAATATAGCGTTTTATACTGCTGCTAAGACGGATGAGGACTGGTGTCCATCCCTCCATCTGATGGATGGTCTGGGTTACTACGGGCAGTATAGAAGCACTCCGAAGCATTCATTTACTAATGCTTAACCATTACAGAACGTCCAGAGAAGTTCAGCAGAAGGCTTCAGAATGCTCACTTCTCAAGAACTTTGCATAAAATATATTTACTTTTGTTTCTAAATGCTCACACCCGTTAGTTCATATTTACTGATAAGCATCTTCGCAGAGAAAGGCCCTCGCTAGGTTACAGCTGAACTTCCCATGGTTCCAACCTTATAAGGATGAGAATGTGCGAAGTTTCCTGAGGAATTTCGAGGAGGTTGCAGTATGGTGGCTGAACTGTGGTCCAACGGGGCAAGTTGACGACACTGAAGACCCTCCTCAAGGGCTGGGAGAGGGCGGCCAAAAGAGGCCCTGAGAAGATGGACTCGGCTGCTGCAAAGTAAGCTCTTACAGCAGAATTCCACTCCCGGTCGACCGTCAGGAGATAATGGAGAGGTTAAAAGTGGACAGGATGGACCACGGTGCTACCCGATAGTATTCTTCGCCGGTCTGCAGCAGTAGTTTGATCCTGCCTTTCCAAAGCTAGAAAGAGTGCCGCGCCGGCAGTTACCGTCCGACCAGTTCGTTGGTGTGCAGCCGGAGCTTGGTGCCTAGTTGGGGTAGGCAAGAACAACCATCCGCTTGAGCGTGGATGAGCTGGTTCATCTGGAACGGGAATTGGTCGAGGTAGTAGTGATCACACTGCAGTCACAGAAGAGGCGGGATGATTCAGCAATGGAGGAACTACGAACCCAGGTGGATCGGCAAACTGAACAGCCTGTCACCACGACGAGAAAATCACACAGGCACGTAAGAATGAGCGGATCCTAAATCTGTGGCATTCCTGGCCACCGGATGGATTAATGCCTCCACACCCGGCTTCCTGTAAATAATGTTTTGGTTTACTATTCTTTTCACCCCTGGGTTTCGATTGGCACAGACTACGACAAATGGCTTATTAAACTAGACAGGAAGAGGGGGTTGTGCTTAATCATTACATCGGCAGAGAACAATTAAAGCAGGCTGCAGAACGTGCGCTAGCCATGAGGGCAGTGAATGGATACCGACTTAAAATTGCGGCTTATCATTGCGCTCAATATGCCTAGGCGACATATTGGTGCAGACTGAGTTCTTGATCAGCACAGACATAAAGCAGACAGTTTTGGGGGCGGATTTCCACAGGAGCGTAGAATCTGTGTTGGACCTAAAGTGGGGCGAAGTGATGACATAGTATGGCTAAATCAAGCTTGAAGGTTACATAAGCACTGCGGTGAGCGAACTGCATGTCCGAAAGCTTCCATCTTGTAATGTTCCGTCAGTGCAGCATGCGGTTGAGGGAAACTCCAAACAGTTCACATGTTATGAAATCCATCTGGCCTCTGCCCGTGGATCGAGCACGAAACCCCAACTCCACCGAACATGTTCGATCTTACTGCCCCCGTCAGCTGTCGCTGCATCTGCGAGAAGAGTTTTATAAACAGGTTCAAGGACTTCTGGAAAATGGTACGACCGAGGAAGCCAACAGTGCCTAGAACTTCCTAGTTGTGAAGAAGACAAAGTAGAAATACCAATTTTGCTTGAATTTCCGGCGTTTGAGCTGGCCGTAAACCCAGTCGTAGCTGTTCCTTAGGTTACGGACACTTCCGATTCGCTGTAACCATACCGACATCTTAAAGTGTTTGATTTACGTTACGAATACTGGCAGAAGACTGAGAGAAAACGGCGTTCACGATTGGGGACACCCAATATCAGTCTAGACGAATGCCGTTTGGTCTGTCGGGGGCACTATTCACATTCAGTCACTTGATGTTTCGTTAAACGAAGAGACCAATTATTGCTGTTGTATATGGGGACGATATCACCATCTATGGCGATTCAGAATAAGAACACGCCGTTTATATGAAAGCCGTACTTAAGCGTATTCGGCTGACCTCCCGATAAATGAAGCCAAGACACAGCTTGTTCGAGGTTCTGTGACACTGCTTGGGCGTAAGTTGAGTCAAGGAGTATTTAACACACTTCCAGAAAAACTGGCAAAGATCCAGGACCGTGCAGTCCCTAATTCAAAGCCGTTCTTACGACAGTTTCTAAGACGAGCATTATGCTCCAATCTGTTTGTCAAGAATCTACACACGATTGCTGCTTCAATCTGCGAGTTGATGCATCCTAATAGGAAGCTTCAACGTGCCAAATCGCGGATGCTGGCTCAACAACTTATCCTCGGGTGCCTATGGTCGGGGAGATGTTCACTTTTTCATCGGACACCAATGACTGGGGTATCGGTACAGTCCTAAGGAAGAGGAATTGGGAAACCGAATATGATACTCGCGTCCTAGCTAAAGCTGAGCAGAAACACTCAACCATTAAGAAAGACTGTTGAGAGATCGTTTGGACCTTCAACAAGTTGAGGCTGGGACAACGATCTCACGTCAAGACCCGCTGACAGGGTTAAGACCACCAGAGATCCTCGCGGAAAACTCGTGCACCAGGCGCTCCGGCTGTAGGAGTACGACGTCACTATCCGCACGTGTGAGGAAGGACAACCACTTGGTCGCTTATCTGTCGAAACCAAAGGCTGGAAAGGAAGGCCTGAAGGTCATCACCGGTGCCAATGTTTTCACCATCGAACTGGCTCCCGGGAGATTGGCATGACTATAGTGGCAAGATCCCACACCACGGATTGTCGCAGTCTCTTTGTAGGACAGGAACGGTATTGAGAATGCAAAAGGAGACAGATAACCGGATAGGCTCCAGAATCGCTTCAATGGGATGAGCCTGATTGAAGCTGGCATAATACCCTGGAACGCCAACAATTCAAAGGTCGTACTGCTCGTGATACTTCGCATCTTGAGATGGAAGCTGATCGTCGAATGTAGCGAAGAGAAACACATATGGTGCAACAAGGCATGCGACTCACTTTGTCAGACAGCGGACGAACAATGAATGGCTGACGGCCAAAAATGTGAATTGAAAGTGAACTTGATGATGGAGTTTTTAACAGTTCAAGCGTCAATCTAGTCATCCGAAGACAAGTATCATTCATGTTGATGTATGGTTCACATCCATGCCTCCTAGTGGATCAGGAAGTCGGGTTGCTCCAGAAAACAGAGGAGCTCCAGAGCTAGAGGAGCAAAAGAAGGGAGCTCGAAAAAACGTGAGTGCGCTCCGAGAAGGGCTTAGGCAGAAGGATATGTGTAATTCCCCATATCACGCAAATGCCCAATGGTTGGTCGAGATTTTAGAACCCGTACGCCAACATTTATTGCAGTATAGCCTCCATGACACTTTTGAGTTTGCGGATCTGATAAAAGATTTGGATATTGGTTCCAAATTTATGTGCTCTTTTGACGTAACTTCCCCTTTTACCAACGTCCCACTCTTGTAGACTATAGATTTTATCTGTGATTACATTGACTCATCAGATTCTACACTCCCAATCCCCACCACCTCATTAAAGGAACCACTCCTTCGGTGTACTTTCAACCTACAATTCCAATTTAAAGCTACACTCTACCGACAAACCGATGGAGTCGCCATGAGTTCTCCTCTTGGCCCCTTGTTGAGTGACATTTTTATGGGCAAACTGGAGCTTGACCGATTGAGTGGGGAGATTAAAAGCACGCACTTTTATCGAAGGTACGTAGTCGAAGGTACTGATATTTTTATGGTAGTACCAAACCGTTCCGAAATGGATACTTCCCTGACCAACTTCAACCAAGCACATTTCTCAATTCAATTCACTTTTGAAACTGAAAGTGACAACGCTTTCCACCTTTTGGACGTTAAGTTTGTCAGACTTTCCACGGGTTCAATTCAAAGATCTGTCCACAGAAAGCCCACGTGGACGGGACAGTACACAAACTTCCTGAGCTTTGTGCCACTGAGGCGAAAACCAACCCTGATTCAAACTTTTACGAACCGAGCAAAACGAATTGCTCTGCTGATACACTGGACTCCGAACTGCAGCACATTGCTAACGTGCTCCGAGCCAATGGCTACCCGGAAAGGTTTATAACCAAGAATATGTCCGACCGTCCTATCCAATCGCCTATCACGACCGTTGGAAAGAAGCCAATATACTTGAGTCTACCGTATAAAGGCGATCTGTTGGCGGACAAGGTCAATCGCCGCTTGTTTCTGTCCTTACAACGCACGTTTCTGGCTGGAACTCTGCGGTCTTAGTTCACAACAAACCCTTTGCTCAACATAAACCTCAAAGACAAGATGCCAGTCCTCACCCAGAATATGGTTGTATATTCTTTCTCCTGCTGTTGTTCGGCGGAGTATATTGGGCGCACGACACGACAACTTTCTAAGAGAATACGCGAGGACCTCTCTCACCGGAATACCATTAACCTCAACAGTTCAGCCAGGAGCTAAATCGCATCCCACCTATTTGACACTGGGCACGTAGTCATGCCAAATGAGTCATTTTAAATCATTTACCGAGTGCCAAATCGACTACCATTATCTACTCATTGACGTTGCTTGACAACGGCCGAGGCAGTCGCTCTGCGCCTGCGAAACCCGGTACTGTGCTGTCAAAAACGTTTCGTACGAACGCTGAGTCTGCCTTGCTCGTGTGAAAGGAATCAACCGGCCAAGTCACTCAACAGCCCTTTTCACTGTCTCACAGCATCCAACTAGATTCGAAATGAAGGGAAGGCGCAGACAACCGATCGTTCGTGTCTCCACCTTTTTGCACTTCACTAACCAATCTTCGTAGTGTATTTGATTTTTCGCTCTTAATTTAACCATGAAATATGCACTGACCTGATGACGAGATCCCGAAAACATTAATGTTCGTCACTATGTTATAGAACTTTGGCGATAAAACACCCGCTAAATCATCATAGCTATATTTAATTGGGCCATTTTGCTATTTTTTGGAAGACTGCATTTGATTTTGTTCGAAAGTGCAATGTATGAAAGCACTAAATAAACTGAAAGTTCGCGGAGTGCTTCATTTGTGCGGATAGTGTTTTTTCCGAATTTATAGTTAGTTTTAATTTTTTCAATGGTAAATCTAAACATGGAGTAGATTACTGTTGTGTTTGTTAGCCAACAATGAGAATTCTTTTGTAGTAGAAGAATTGTAATACGTTAAATTTAGTCTAAAAGAGCTTGAAAACAACGGAAAGCAACATCAGTAAGACAGAGGCCATGAGTCTGTTTGACTCTTGTGAGTTACCTTACCAGCCAGGCCATGGAAATCTGTTGGTTTTATTTTTATGCTGATGAAATTTATTTTAGCTTTGGCGTGAATGTATGAGTTCCAATAAGCATACACCGGTTGGCCGAAAGGATAAGACCAAGTCCTACTAGCTGGGATCTCATTTTGACACAATAACATAGAATGTGAAATGGCACGTTTGAATACTAAACTTCGGTGAAATTCTTAGGTTTTCTCTTGGGACTCCGAAAAATTATTTTATTTGGTAAGGATTGCAAGAAAAGAATCACGGAACAACATGAACCTATACATATTGTCATATTTCCAATAAAACAATATATAGACGTTTTCTGGAGACAGATGTTATTTGCTGGCCTCTTTACTACTTTGTGCGCTGCTCGCAAAAACTGGGCATATTCACCTGACGCTCACATCATCATCAATGCACTGTGCACACTTAGTCATGGATAAACACTGGTTTGTTTGTAAATAAATTTTAATCTATAAGAATGACGGGATCCAAAAACATGTTGGAGAAGTACAGAAAAAAATGCCGGATAATGAGGCCGTCAAATCCATGGAAATTGATTTTAATGTGCAAAAAATGTTGGGCCACATTTCTCATGTATATGTTCAATACAGAATAAGCCTAGCAAACAAAGAGCTAAAAAACATTTTAATAGGTAAATGCACTTGGTTACCAAGGTGAGCGCTCATATGAAGCCTATCAGGCATCGTTTATATGGTCTTGATCTCAGGTCATATGACGTGCACCAGTTGAACAATCTTATATAAAAATTTCAATGTAGTTGGTGATGGAATTCAGTGAGTTTGTTGAGTGCTGGGCTAATCGATTGATTCCACACATGCGTACAAATTCCGTATGGCTTTACCCACGGCGCCGAGTTTAGACGAGTCAGTAAACTCACTATTACATAGATATCAGCTAATAGACCAGGGTTTCGAAGAACAAACGGGTTAATTTGACTTTTTTCAAGCGACTATGTCCAACGAAATTAAGTTGGTATTAGAGACCTACCTAAATCCTAGCTGAATTCCACTCCTGTGATAAGCTTCAGCTGAATAAGGCACACAACACTACATCATTCTTCAGTTGACGTGATGTCATAAACGGAAGATTCAGTGAGAGTTCAGCGGAGTCCCCGTAGATACCAAATTAGCCTGAAGACGAGTATGTTTCTCCATCTTTGTTCAATTTGGTGTTCAGCCAGAATATCAGGGTGACGGAAACCTAGGGACTGCACCTATCTGACAAGGCACGAGAAGGGTGAAGTCCGTAGTGGTGTGTTCCATCGCCAAAAATGGATTATCTATTTAGCGAAATCCACCACCATTAAATTTAAAAACACTCCCAGCTAGCAATTTTCGCTGCTCCGCTGGAGGCCAGTTAACTGACATTCTGTCGATCATCAGAACTGCCTGATCTCACGCAACTTGGATGTTCCTGAACCAAGTTGTCGCGCAGATACGAATGAGTGTAATTATCCGTAGAATCATTGGGGCCGGGTTCTTGGTCAGCTTGGCACTTTTTATACGATACCAGCAATTGTGATGATAAATACAAAATAGCTGAACTGCTACTTGATCTATGTAATGACGAGCAAAAGGCAAGACCATCACCCAGTTACGCTTGTAGAATGAATCATCCATATATCTTGATTACTGTAACTAACTCAAGGGTCATAGATGTGAAAAACAAGTGTAGTTTTCGGAGCTGTTTACAGCACAGAACTTTTCTAATTTTTGTGTGAGGTTCCTGCCAAATCTCCTAGCAAGGTGCGCGTACGTACATGTATCTTTCGCAAGATTCGACCTGCTTCTGACAGCTAAAGATGAGCATTTGAAGCATTCAGATTAAGGGAAGTAAAGTCGTTACACGCATAAAAATATATACCTAGTCGATTGAGTTCTAAGTAATATGAGCCGAACACATTTGTCGGTCCATGTGAGCAGTAGGCTTGCGAGGGACTGGATACCAACATAAGTATGCTGGTATTTATACTTAGTTTTTTTAAAGATCATCTAACCTGTGTTGACTGTCGAGTTAGCTCTAGGTAGAAGAATTCGCATGCGTACTCCAAAAACTGAGATGTTACCAAACGATTAAAATTGTCAGGTCAAAGACAATTATTGTTATCTAGGTCACTTTGCACTCATAACATACTGAAACGCTAAGCTGCGAAATTAAAAATTGTTTTTCAAGCGGGAAATCTTCAAGACTCGATCATTCACTGTGAAGAATTTTCAATATTCACACTGGTCTGGGTTTTTCGCCCAAAATGGTTTTTACCCCAAGATCCATTGCTGAGCAACAAGCAGTGAAACTTGTCATAAGAAGGAAATTCCAAAAGCAACAGCAGAGTGTCAGTAGTGTATGTCAGGTTTCGATTGAACTAAAACTCGGTGAATTCTTTATTTTTAAGACGACACACCTAAACGACTTGTCTTTTTGGACCACTTGTGTACCACTGGTGTTCGTTAGTTGTACTTAGTTGGAATTAACAAAGAAGAATTTGTGTATAGATTCAACCATTCACCAAAGACCCAAACGACCTTGCGTTTTGTGACCAATTTAGAATCCAATGTTTTTGCCACTTGCGTTTGTGAACCACGATTAAAATTAGCGTTCAACGGCTACTATTTTGGCTTGTTCAAAATCAACGGAAAAGGAGAAACCTCACACACTAGTGAATAAATGTTTTTTGAACCTAAATTCGTCATACAACGCAGCTTTTCTCCTTGTTGGATTTTTGCGTCGGCTTGAAGGAATTGCTTTCCTATTACTGGTCATGTGTTTCTGGAGTCTGACCACAGGACCACGCGTCCGCCATCATTCTGGCCAGCTTAGATATTTTAATCGTGAGGTTGTTGGTTTACCCAGCTGCTGACACGCTTAAGACAGTCTGAATGAACTCCACTTGGCCGGTTCACTAGACGATTCTAAATGGCATTGAAAAGACTCATACGACTGAACCTTACGCATCCCTACATCCTACACATCCTAGATCCAAGACTAAGCAATTATAAGAATGATCATGGAGCTAGTATGGAAAGTAAGCAAGCGTCTCAGAGGAGCAGCTTATTCTCTTTTACCTACATATTATCAGGCAAAACAAGTAATCTGAACAGGCATAGGACACAGGAGGAAGTGACCACTAAATCAAACTCACTCTTTTTGGCTTTCGCCCATCGCAAACCGGTAGGATAAATTAAGACCATAATACAGCAACAAATAAACAAGGAGATCCATCCAGAGAAGTTTGTACAAGCTGCCCTTCCACCTTTGAAAAAAAAATGTAGAAAGGGATGGAAAAACTGTTCATTTGCGGCGAAGCATTCCTAGTTACTGTTAAAAATTCAGGGTGACTCAATTGTCTACATGAATCCCATTCGGACACCGGATTTAGGGAACTATAGAAAATGAAGTTATTGGTGCATGTTGCAACGTAAGTATTAGGACTTTACAGATCTCAGTTATAATGAGGTTTGCTGGAAAGAGGGCAATAGGAAATTTTCCATACGCATTACAAACAAGAACTGTAAAAACGCAAGTGAATATAGATCATTACATAGTGCACCAATAGGCTCTGGTGGAAATCCGATCAAGACAGGAATATGTGGACGTCCTAAGCTTGAACAAGTTTCCTTGTTGCAAGTGGCGATTGTACTACTTTTTATAAATTTATTCATACCCCCTCGATATGCCCAAGGGTAACTGTGGACAAAGATTTGCCATACCCTGACACCGGTCATATATATTCTATCGGGATATGATGTAAAGTTCTGTTGTCCCAGCATGCACTTCGCCAACAGAATACGAAACCCTCATGAACTACTTTAAATAGACATAAAAAACATTCTTCGTCGTGTGTTAAATCGCTGTGTTTGCATTAATTGTCGATAAAGATTATTGATAAGGGTTGTAAACATCTATTATTTCAGCATGTTTCAGTACTCCTCTAGGCAACTTTTAGCGTCCTAGGTAATTGCCAAAAGGCTCCAAAGCACAAATAACTATTGCGTTGGATTTACCAAGTTCACCTGTGTATTTGCATGTTGAAAAAACGTAGATTTAAATCGCTGTCGGATTTTTTCTAAGGCTTCAACATTTCGTTTTCTATCAACTACAGCTAGATGTCTCTTCACACCAGGAGAGCTCACACCGTAGCCCATCGCTGTGGAACCATCGTTGTTCATCATCAAAAACCAAACTGTTTTACCCTCGGTTGAAAAAATATGTCCAGACCGTTTTGTATGAAACCTACCGCGCCAGAGGAAGCTTTTCTCAATTAATTCGCCCAGAAAAGGATTTAAAAGTTTCGACTTGCCTAAAACGTGATCTAAATTAATCCGAAGTAACTTTTTTCATCCTTATGTACTGTAGATAAATAAAGGAGTGTTTCACGTTTACCATTTTGCCGCAGATATTTTTGCCATCAGTTAAAGTCAACTGCATGAATTATTCGACTCCACGGCAACGGTATTTAGAGCCATACTGGCGAGATGACTATTGACCTCATATCGCTGGTGGCATATAAGCTGTTTGATATTGATCGGACAAGGATCGCTCATGGTGCGATTTGCACAAGTTAAGTTGTTCGATCATCCATGAATGTTGGTTCGTCTGGCTTTGGTGTACTTCGGAACCTCGCTCTATACTACGGGTGCTCTAACAAAAGTATTCAACAATTATTCTAGCCATTCGTTCGCTAGTTTCAGGAATTCAACAATCCAAATTAAAAGAATGCTCTTGTATACATGATCAAGAAGGAAAGTTCTGGATAAGTTGCCTGAAGTGCTTCCGAGTCTTACAGCTGATTAGTGGATTTTTTATTTACTTTTTTAATTCATGCTTTCCACAACCAGACTTTGGTTATGCTTTCTTTCTCATGTTATTTCACAGCGGAATCCGTTGTGCGCACGACACGGCAACTCGATACGTAAATACGTGTTCACCTTTGTTACCGGAACACGGCTAGACACAACGGTTCAACCACACATAATTGACAGCGGTCACGTGGTCAATCCGAACGAGTCTTCGCACGTCACCTACCAAGTATCCAATAGGCTTGTAGTATCGACCCAACGGCATCGTTCAACTTCTGCCGAAACAGCCAAAGTACGTTTTCGAGATAAGGCACTATGCTGCCAGTGCTGAGTATGCATTGGTCACGTGACGTGAATCGATCGGCCTAGACGATCAAAGACCCTGTAAACCGTCCCACACCATCCAGTGAGGTGCAATCTGGGGGCTGTTTGTGTTCGCGAGTTTTTCAATGCAGTAAGCGATCTTACCTGTGTATTTCATCATTTAACTCTTTTAGCCAACGGATATATACTGACCTGAAGACAAGACCCCGAAAACAATAGGCTTTTCCACTGCGTTCTTTGTGAAAAATCAGACTTTGCCAGATGCTCACATTTGTAAAGGTCCATATTGGCCTTGTGCGCAGACCAAGGTTCACACAGTTTTGGAGACTCATGCATTCGTTCCAGGTACTTTAGTTATGAAGATGGATAAAAACCCACAACCCCACTTCGGCTAGGCCCGTAATTGGGGCCACAGTAAACTGGAGTATTTTTTTCCTCACTTAGTTGTGGATTAGGCGGTATTCAGTCTGTATGAAACGCAATCCTCAAACCTGAGTCCCTAAGCCACAATTACATGCTAGGCGGCACTCTGTGTCTCACGTTTCACATTCAGCCATTTCTGACGGAATATCTAGCTGACCGTAACTTATCTTGTGTGGTGGTTGTGAGAGATTTATGCAAGAGGATTTGTTTAATACTGAAGTGAAAGAGATTCCTTTATGGGGCTCACTGGTCTTGCGGGCGCCTAGACTGCGCACTAGTATCATTGACTATTCAGTCAAAAAGCAATGTAGTGAAACTGAGGACACCCACTGCAATATGAGAAACAGGTGTTGATACGGTGGTGCGATATTAGCAGGACTAAACTGTACTAACCTGCAGTACTAACTTTCTACTGGCCAAAAACTGGCCACATCAAACGAGTTGGGATTTGGTATGAAAATCAGGATACACCATCACATATCTTCCAGTATTTGCGTCATGTTGCAGGCTGAACAAATATCAGAAACAACTGGATTAAGCACCATCTTCATCAGGGGACTCTAAAGAAGGAGGGAGTAACAGATTGACCAGAGGCCTAAGAACATCATCATTCGCAATGTTTGAGTCGCACCAATCTTAACCGAATTTAGGGTTGGTAAATTTTACTAATAAGAATCCCCGGAAATTCTATAATCTGTGACCCTGTATTTTTAATAAAAAGGGTCCCAGCTGACATCTCTTAATCGTTGCTTTGCTGTTTTGCACGTATAATCAACCAGCCGTCGTGCGGTCTTATGGCGCCCGTCGGCAGTAGCAGCCAAAGTTCTAATAAAAAAGACCTGAACAGAATGTGTGGTTTCGTTTTGGTTACAAACCACCTGACAAGCTCTAATATTTCATCTCCAGCTTGACTCACCAACAAGTTATAGTTTGGCGTTTGTCTACGAAATACTCCATGATTTGATAGCAAGCAAGCTGTTAGCTAGGCTCAACATTGGTTGCATGACCTATCACTCAGGCGGAGGCAAGTCTGTGCAAATAAAAACGCTGAATAAGCCCATCTTAATTCATGTTGACGTGGGAAAATTTGAGCTGCACATTACGACTACTAGTTACGTTCACTTTTACTCGCCAAAAGTTGCAAATCACTCGTTTTTCCATTTTGATTTACTAGAGAATGAAGATCAGTTTTGATAAAGGAAACTTCTTTGTTGCAACCTCAAGTGAATTTTGCACGATGAAAGAATAATCTCTCTTCCATTGGGAAGTGAGGGAGGCCCACTCGTAGGAATTTTTGCGTACTTACTAATTGGGTCGATTCCTGTTTACAGACATTAATAAAACACCCGACCCTCAGATTACTTTTCTTAAGACGATCCTAAATATCAGACATTCTTCTGATCTTACTGCAGGCTGTCAAACTACTACACCCGTCATTGGGCATCGTGGCACTTGAACACCACTTGAAGCAACATATGAGAACCAGTCTTGGAAAGACATCCAAAATCTGTGCTTAGTATATTAACTGGGTATGAATAAAACGAATGCGTTTTGCCTTTTATACCAGCAAGTAATCCAAGGACTTAAAGATTAAATACAGTAAAAACGTAAGGTTGTGCAACGGAGAGAAACGAAAGGCGAAGTAATCTAGTACCCAAGCAACTTTGTGCTTGCGAAGAAGATGAAATGTTTTGGTGGCCTATCGGTGCACACAAATATGCTGACTTCAGTTCCAGTAAATCAAGCAGAACCTGTGCTAAATATGAAGATAGTTTAACAGCCCATTCCTATAACGAAAACTAATCAGGGCACCACCGCCATATAAAAGAACGATAGACTATCCCCCGAGGCACGCCACTTCAGATTTACCTACGAAAAATTCAAACATGGGAAGATCTTGCGGTGTCAACCATTGAAGTCGCCTTTCCAGAGTAGCCAGAGGTGACAATGTCCATAAATGTCCACTCTAGCATACGAGCACTTCATTTCCATGAAGTACTTGTCCACTTGATTGTCAGTTTTTTTCAGCACGCGAACACTAATCTAAACGGCATCGTAAATGAATTTTGTCAACAACCGAGTTTTGAAACCTGATTTGTGTGAGCAGGTGAGGCTACTAAAACTACTCCTAGTGGCACGGCTTCAGTAGCTGTACTCTTTAAGCATGGGAAACACCCATGCTGAAACGCCCATGAAACAAACCGAGACCATAAATACCACGAAAATCTTGCTTGCGGTACGGGGTTTGATTCGATGAAAAGCGTCAGATTTGAGAAACAGCGAGTTTATTTAGACGATCGTAGGGGAGGAATCACCTTCGAGAATAGTGGAGATTTCAGTCCGCCATCATAAGGAAGTTTTTAAGAGGCACGTCCAAAAGGTGCACTTGAATTAAAGTCAACAAAGCTTCTTACACTTTTTGACCACGCAATAAGACGTTCTTACTTAAAGCGCAAGCTCATCTAAACCAGCCTCCTACGCATGCGGCAAATTTGCATGAGAAACTAGGCGTGTTTGCACTTAACTGATTCTCAAGGTTTCACAGCGGATGCGGCGATACTCAGTAAGTGGTATCTGGAACGAGCAGAACAACCCCTGCTAGTCATCTGAGAAGTCTGTTGAATTGGAAGCAAAGAAATGACGGGGAGAATTTTCCCGATTCGATTTACTAGACAGAGCAGTCAGGCTGAATGCAGTCAAATGTCAG